TTTATTTGCAAATCTCATTTTATTTATTTGTGAATTTAATTCATGTTTGTGAAACTTAAAGATTTATTTGTGGATCTCATTCTATTTATTTGTGGATCATAATCTATTTATTTGGAATTAAGCAACAATTCTACCCCCATATTTTTACTCATTGGTGAGCTTGCAGTGTAAATTGAATGTAATGAGCTAAATGGGATGGGGGACCCCCAAAAAAACCCATCTTGGGTAAAGAAATAAGCCTTTATTTCGCATCTTCGCTGGCATATTAAAAACAAACACATTATCGTTAAAAGTTTGGGGTCAGAATTATTATTATTATTATTATTGTGCTAAACTGATCAAAAGAGACCGTAAAGACATTGTTTCAAACAACTTCTTTATCACCAAATTAGCATTTTTAACAGAGCCCCAGCTTTTGAACGTCCTTTTATTAAATTTGTTAAAGTGATTCTAATTCTAATGAATCATTGGTGGGATCAGTTATTGGTTTACTGAATTAATGTATGACTCACTTACTGTGCTTTTTCATGTGTCTCTTAAAATGAATCATTGACAATTACTGTATGCTTAACTCTATATGGACCACATTATGAAATTTAGTTTGTTAGACATTTGTTACTGAATTTCGAGGCCTAGTTATATTAGCACATTCACAGCTTTTCTCCCTTAAAAGACTTTAAAAGATAATATTGTTTTGATATACTATGCAATGAAGCGTCATTTATTGTAAAAACTGGTCAGATCTGAGAAGGTCTACTCAGAAAATCCATGCTGGCAAAACATCGCTGGACTCCGATGTCAGAGGCTCTGTGCCTTCTGTATGTTTACTCTCAGATGTGTTTGGTCGGCATGTGTTTTAAGACGAGCCGTCTCCGCTCATTTCTGAGCCATAGTCAAATGACTTGTCTTTCAGCTCTATGGGCCCCCCAGTCTTTTTCTGTTGTCATAATACACCGACATACAGTACAGTGGCTATGGAAACATACAAACATAATCTAATTTATCACTGTAGCCTCTCTTACTTTTTTTTTCCCCCTGGTGCCTCTATCCCTCCAATTCTCTTTTTCCCAACTCGTTTAATATCTGTCTGCATCAGCGTTAGTGGTGCAGCTAAATGAACTGTGTAATACAGTATACAGTTGCATTGCTAAGTAGCTGTAACTTTATGGCTCCCTCTGAAGTAAACTCGCACCTGCTCAAGGTCAGAAACACTCACACAGACAGATGGCGTATCAATTTAAGTGTGGGCTCTAAGGGTGCCGCTGGAGAGCCGGGTGCGAAGCACAGGCAGAGGACAAGAGCCATCCTAGCCTTCTGTGAAGTCTCTGTGATCCCACCTAGCGTTCACCTAGTTGAATTATGCATTATATTTTGTGGTGCTTGCTATGCCACACATTACTACTGTTGTTATGGATTTGAACAAACCCTTAAAGGGTTAGTTCACCCAAAAATGAAAATTAGTCCATAAATTATTCACCCTCAAGCCATCCTTGGTGTATATGACTTTCTTCTTTCAGATGAGTCGGAGTTATATTAAAAATTGTCTTTGATCTTTCAAGCTGTTTAATGGCACTCAGCAGGTGTTGCAGTGCATCAGTCCAAAAGAAGTAGAATAAAAAGTTAAATAAAAAGCGACCATCCTTAATAAAAAAAGAGTCTCACACAGCCCCAGGGGGTGAACAAAGTCCTGCTGTAGCGAATCGATGCGTTTTTGTAACAAAAATATCCATATTCAAAACGTAATAATCACTTTAATGTAGCTTGGACCAACAGTTGTACACGGAAGCAGTTCCGGGCTGATGACGTATGATGTCGGCATTGTGCATGCGCCGGTGAGTCACGTGAAAACCAACGTTTGTTTACAGGAGCAAAGGAAGCCACGTTTCCTTACATTAGCAAAGGAAAACCAGTCTCCTCTTGGCTTATATCGAAATCCTCCGAAATTCTTCTTTAGAAATCCTAGTTTTGTACTTCTAATTAGTGACCGTTTTTTTGTTTTGATCTCTCCCCTGTGCTTCCGCGTTCGTCACTTCTGAGCAGCGCATGTGCAAAGCCGACATCAGCCCGGAACTGCTTCAGTGTACAACAGTTAGCGCAAGCTAGATTAAATGGATTATTACTTTTTAAATATGGTTATTTATCTTACAAAAATGCATTGATTCACTACAGCAGGACTTTGTTCACCCCCCGGAGCTGTGTGAGACTCTTTTTTTTATTAAGGATGGTCGCTTTTTATTTAACTTCTTTTTATTCTACTTCTTTTGGACTGATGCACTGCAACACCTGCTGAGTGCCATTAAACAGCTTGAAAGATCAAAGACAATTTTTAAAATAACTCTGACTGGATTCGTCTTAAAGAAGAAAGTAATATACACCTAGGATGACTTGAGGGTGAGTAATTTATGGGCTAATATTCATTTTTGGGTGAACTAACCCTTTAACCCTAATATTAAACTTCATGTGCTGTTGCTTTTCTAAAACTTAAGAGACTGTTTACCTAGTAAATGGGTAAACAAAAGGTATTTCAACATATAGAGATCAAAATATCTAAAGTTGCAGTCACACTTGTTGTTTGACGAAATTTGGCAGGTATTTACGTGGGAATCCCCACAGTCAAAAGTGTGGGGGGGAAAGTTGCTCACAAAGAGCAACTTGACGTTGGACTTTTTTGGCTGCAAAATTTCACAGAAATGTTGCTAATGTGACTGCACCTTCAGGTACAGTATGGGCTCTTTTGACTTGGGCAAAGTAAGTAGCCACTCAGAAACACCCTTAAACACTGAGAACAGAACATGTAGCAACACTTTGGCAACGACTTTTGCACTGGCAAGTACTTGCATATTCTTCTACATGTCTAGTCTATATCGTGATCCAGTTTTGATAACGCAAAAATGGAAGGCACACCAACAGCAAACCACACATAACAGATGTTTAATCCTGCTTAATTAGTTGTGTGTTTCTGTGTGTTTTGGGGTGACCTTGGCTATGTTGGTTAATGCCGACAGCTATTTTGTTATTACTCAGACCTGACCTCCTACTTCCCTCTGGGAGGCATGTTACACCTCATAAAGCATGCTTAAGTCCTGCTCCAGTTTCAAGGAGTGGAGCTTCCCGTGCTCTGAAATAGCCTCGTCCTTGTCCCTCTGAGGGCTTGGGTTTGGCTATGATGTATATGTGTGTGCTGGGGGGCATGAATCCTGGTGTCTTGCTCGATTGCTGTTGACAGGATGCTGTGTGTCCCTGTCTCTTTGAGGCCTCAGATTAGCGCCCCTTATTCCCCTGACGAAACCCCCACCTGTCCGAGTCCCTCTCCCATAGAGGTCACCCTGCATGCTGGCACAGCGGCTGTGGGGTGTATGTTTAAGGCTGGACACCCTGAGTAAACGGTCACCGTTAACATGACGCTTCAGATATGTACAGTCTCTCTGTCTACCTGTTACTGTCTGCAGTGGGTTTGTGGGATAGATTTGTCACCTTCCTTTTATCATTTTTGAGGCCACTTGCAAAGAGTTCTAAAATAAAGAGTTGACAGGAAATTGTCAAAATAAATATTTTAATGCAAAGGAATATTCTTTTATAAATCAGAATATGGTCATATTCCAGTTATGAATGTATCATGTAAGGTTTTAAGGATTCCAAATATGACAGTTATATGCCTGTATTCCTTATTTGTCATGTTAAATCCTTACTTGGAATATAAACTAATAGAATACCATTAGACGCTTTAGTTTTTGATTTTCATTTTTTATCTTTCTATAATAAAACAAACTACCTTTTTAAAAATTTCGAGTTTAGCGAGAATTTAGATTTTTATTTTTAAATGAATGCTTGTATATTCAGCAAGGATGTCTTAAATTTATCAAAAGTGACATTAAAGACATTTATAATAAAAACAAGTCTGTTTCAAATAAATGCTATTGTATGTGCTGTCCATGACCTTTATTTGAAATAGTTTTTTTTGTTAGCACAAAGAGCATTTAATGCATTTGAATGTTCTATACATCAAAGAATCCTAAGTGCACAACTGTTTTTGGCAGAGATAAGAAGGAATGTTTGAATATTTTCTGAAGTATCAGTTATTTTAAATTGTAATGATATTTCACATTATTACTGTTTTTGTTTACTGTATTTTTGATCAAATAATTGCATAGGAGACTATACAATTTTTACAGACCCCAAACTTTTGAATGGTACTGTAGTTCATTCATTTAATTACAGGAATATTTCATGATCTTGTAAACCTCTTTTTTAACTTCAATGTCGATTGTAATCAGTAAGTGACATGTAAATACAGTCAGCTGGGAGCTGTGATTTGAACCTGAGTTTCCCAAATTAGCACCATGACTCTGACCACTAAGCCTTTTTTCTCCTTTTTTTTTTTTTAGCCTTTTTTTAAACATTTTTTTTAGCCTTTTTCTTTCTTTTGCTTCTTTTATGTATTATTTTTTTCCTCTTGTGCTACACTTCTACCTCCCTCTGTCTGCCTTTCATTTTTTCCTTTTGTCTCTCTCCTTTTCTCTGACAGCTGTGGTTTACATGGGTCTCCCTCTGCAGCTGGACAACCCTCCCCTTCTCTCACTCTCTCTTTTTCTCGTCATGCAGTCCAGTGGTGATTAAGACTATTAGGCCTTATAATGACTCTGCTTGTGTGTGGGTTTGGAGCCCCATTTCAGTGCAGCTAATAGACCTCTTAGCCAATTATCCTCCATTTAGAAGCAAATCACAGAGGCTTTTTCTCTCCCCCTTTGATAAATGTTGAATTACTGAATAGATTTGCTAATTAAATTCTTTGTGTGCTTTGCATGTGCAAATCCTTATGTTCATGTGTTTGAGTTTACGCATGTGCACTTTTTTCCCCGTAGTATTTCTTGCTGATAAATGTATATTCGCCAAAGTGAGTGGGTGTGTTTGACTGATTTGAAATTTATATTGTTCTCCACTTGCTGTGTTTAGTGTTTATTGTGTTTCCCCAGTGACATGCAGTCTTTTGTCTCCCGCAGATTTTGATGCACACCAAAGAAATGGTGCAGAGGGTGAGTCATGATTGGTGTACATTACAGTAATAATTAAGTGGCACTTGCCGTGTTTGTTATTTGTAAGCCGTGCGTGGGTTTGACGGTTTACGGTTCTCCCTCAGATGAATCTGGAGGTCATATACGGGGATACCGACTCCATCATGATCAACACCAACAGCACCAATCTGGAGGAGGTCTTCAAACTGGGAAACAAGGTAAGGTTTTGGGGGAAATGGAGTGGGTTTCTGCACGTCTCACAGAAAAATGCATTATTGGATTTTTAAAGCTTGAGTGAGTGACATTAATGATTGAGACATCACTGACAGTCAGGAGGGAATTATACCAACCATTCAGCAATTGAATAAATGTGTCTCTGTGTGTGTGTGTGTAGGTGAGAAGCGAGGTGAATAAACTCTATAAGCTTCTGGAGATTGACATTGACGGCGTGTTTAAGTCCCTTCTGCTGCTGAAGAAGAAGAAATATGCAGCACTGATGGTTGAGCCTCAGGGAGATGGCAAATACACCACAAAACAAGAGCTGAAAGGCCTGGACATTGTGCGTAGAGACTGGTGTGACCTGGCCAAAGAGTGTGGCAAGTCAGTGCACTGAACTACAGATCGTTAGTCCTTTCTGTCCTTTATAAAGACAGTAATGTAGGAGTAATCTTTCTTGATCTACTTGAAGCTCCTGACACCAAGACAAATGCCTTGTGTGTGCAAACTCGCATGGCAGTAAAGCTCTTTCTGATTCTGTATATAGTCTTTTGTAATACTGTTGTTATTTATATGATCCTTTTCCCTTTCATCTAGTTATGTGATTGGTCAGATCCTGTCAGACCAGAACCGTGACACCATCGTAGAGAACATTCAGAAACATCTGATTGAGGTTGGAGAGAAGGTGGCCAATGGCAGTATTCCACTCAATATGTTTGAGATACACAAGGTGAAGGACTGAATTAGAAACAGGCTTTTCGCAAATTGGTTCGGCTATGAATAAATTAGGAAAATATCTACACTACTAGTTGAAATATTAGAAAACCTTAACCGCTCAAAACAAAAAAAACAAATGGTGTTTTGGTAATTATGTAGTGACTGAAATTGCTTAAATATTGTTCAGAGGTTTGGGGTCTTTTTAATGAGCAGCTTTTATTTGAAGCAAAAATAATGTATTATTCTAACTTCATAAATGTGGTTTATTATTTCTGAAAATATTATATGTTTATTTATTTATTTAGTTGTGTAATGATGGGCACAAATCTCATTTAAATTGAGAAGAGTTCAAAGCATTTAAAGTATTCCAATAACTGATTTTAAGGTCATGGGAACAATTTCATGGCTGTCTCATGAAGTGTGTTCAAGGGAATACGTTTTTTTTTTTTTCTTCAGTCCCTGACAAAGGATCCTCAGGACTACCCTGACAAGAAGAGTCTCCCCCACGTCCATGTTGCCCTCTGGATCAACTCCCAGGGTGGAAAGAAGGTTAAAGCGGGTGACACTGTTTCTTATGTCATCTGTCAGGTGAGCGACCAGTGTATTTGTACTTCTGACTCTAAAATTTGGCAGTAAACCCACACTAAACTTCCCCCGCTGCCTGTGCTTTCCTCTGTTAGGACGGTTCAAACCTGGCAGCCAGTCAGAGGGCGTATGCCCTGGAGCAGCTACAGAAACAGCCGGGACTCAGCCTGGACACACAGTACTACCTGTCCCAGCAGGTGCACCCTGTAGTGGGCCGAATCTGTGAGCCTATCGAAGGCATTGATGCAGTGCTTATTGCTACATGGCTTGGTGAGACAGTCTGTCTGGATCAGTATTGATTATATTTTGCCAGAAAGGACATCTGAATTAAGATCAGTTTCCCTTTTTTGCTCAGTTCTTTTGACACGAAGAGCAGCATATATTATAGTATAGATATTGAATTTTTATTTTTTTTTACCTCACTGTAATCTCTGAACGTATTTTAACTGCCGTTGTGAAAATTAATTAAGCTATTTAATTTCATTTCACTTTGTGTATTTAGGTATTTGTTTTTATTCAGTAAAAAAAACATTAATTCTGAACATATTTTAACTGATGTAAGTTGTTAACAAATCATTCATTAATTAATATAAATTTTTTTATATATTTGTTTTTATCATTTTTTTATTTTTAAGATTAAGGTTATATGTTTAGATGGTTTGTAAACATGTTAATTTCGGAGCATTTTAAAAATATCAACTATGTATATTGTTCCCTATATTTTCCCTAGCAGCTAAGATCCCATTTACCCCCCAGATGGAAATTCAGTTTCTTTAAAAAGTGCATGAACCCTTGCCACTCTGTCTCCATGACAACAGACCCTGGTTGTTTGGTATCCTGCCTTTGGGTCCAAAACTCAGACACTACTACAGTCTCCCCACCGTGTCACCAGAACCAAGTAGCTGGTTTCCTTAAATACTTAATGGTTAGCAACACATTTATGCCACATTTGCTTCCAGAATATCCTGATCAACTGCTTCTCAAGTAGTCATGTAAAACAGTCTCACAATACACACAACATTCTGTGTCCACTCCTAACTACAGTTCACGCATCACCCTGTTCCCTTGACCACAGATGTGTGTGTGTGTGTGTGTGTGCAGACACTCGGGGCGGTGAGTTATCAGCCCTCATATTCACATCCATTAGCAGACCTGATCTTATCGGTCAGGAAAATGCCAAGCAGTCCATCCCGATTCATGCATTTCTCACCGTTCAATTGCGTCCTACCTTAACTTCCTGTTAAATATTGTGTAATGACAGGTAACAATAAATTTAAGCGGCACAGGTGATTACTTCCTCTGCTTCAGGCTTTTACCGGCCTATTAATTTCATAGCCACACACTTTATTTATAGAGGCTTGGCAGAGCTGGGCAGGGGGTAGAGAGGTTTTGCCGAGCAAATGTGCTAACGCATTAGCCACACACACACAGCTTATTTGAGGCATAATGAGCACCATAAACAGCTCTGCTAGTGCCCATGTGAGGTTAGATTGAAGGGATATTAGGCTACAGTAGTTTATATCCACTGTTTAACTACAATTGTTGCCACTGTTTCTCAATGGGAGGTCTGGGGCCTTTTAGATGTAGAAAAGCTGGCAAAGCTTGCAAATCATCTGCGCAGTATGGCATTTGTTACTTGCTGTCACCCAGATACACAGCTGAAAGCTTAATGCAGTGCCATTTTTGCTCCTTTGTGTTTCTGTTCCCAACCTAGATACCCTAGAGCCTTGGTCCGAGGGCACTGACATTATATTTTTAGTATGTTTGAATGTCTAATAGGTAGGGTTGGGAATCTTTTGAATTTTATCGATTTGGTTCCGATTCTGCTTATCGATTCCGATTCTTATCGATTCCTAATTCCGATTCCAATAAGATAAAAAAATCCATTAAACAAATTTTAAGTCAAATATTTAGATGTCAAACATATTTATTCTGTTTTATGTCTATGGTTTTATCAGAAAAATACCACAGAAAAAAACAACTAGACTAATATAAATTTCAAACATTAAATTGTTAAAGACAAGTAAACAAATTAGCAATAGCATAAATAAATAAAACCGAACAAATGTCAGGTACAGAAATTGAAATCAAAAATTTAAAAACGCTGTTTAGTTTTCTTTTCATAAAATATTGATTAATCCTCATTACATTTACGAAAGATATTCAGTCAGTTAATGATTTTCTTTTGTTCTTTGATTAACATTAATGATAGCAGCACGTTTATTAGACGGCTAACTCTTTAACATCGAACACACACAGATCTAAAAATACTGTTACACATGCGTTTTCTTTCTCATCTGTTTACGTTCACTTAAGACAAAAAATTTTGGGCAATGCCAGTCAACAGCATAAATGCTCTGATTATGTTGTTGTTGTTTTTTTGTGTGTGTGTGTGGGCTTGTGTGCCGTGATCAAATGCTGTGTTAAAAGTTAATTTATTTGTTTCCAGGGGAGCACCTTACAGCCCAGCCTGAAGAATTGTTGCCATATCCCCTGTCGGGGCAGCCCGATGGAGCATCCTATTCAAATTAGCAACAAACTGCAACTGGACATTCGCCGCCACATCAGGAGATACTGCAGTGTGAGTATGAACAAATGCTTCTCGTAATGCACCACCTATGCGTTCCAGATTGGCCACTGCAGGTGTTGTGGGTAAGGTGTCGCATAATAAAGAGCCATGTAACTAATAAATATCTATTTGCACCAAGAGTTTTTGCAAATCGTTAGAGAAAATTCACCAAACGTGTACATGTATATATACAGTTGTGCTCATAAATTTACATGCCCCTTGCAGAATATGCAAAATGTTAATAATTTTAACAAAATTTGCATGTTATTGTTTATTTAATACTGTCCTAAATATGCTATTTCACATAACAGATGTTTGTATATTCTCCAGAAGACAAAAAAAATTCTGAATTTATAAAAATGACCCCATTCAAAAGTTTACATACCCTTGAATCTTAATAATCTGTTGTTTCCTGGAGGATCCATGACTGTTTTTCTGTGTTGTGATAGTTGTTCATGAGTCCCTCGTTGGTCCTGAGCAGTTCAACTGCCTGCTGTTCTTCAGAAAAATCCTCCAGTTCCTGCACATTCTTTGGCTTTCCAGCATCTTCTGCATATTTGAACCATTTCCAGCAGTCACTGTATGATTTTGAGATCCATCTTTTCACACTGAGGGCAACTGAGGGACTTTTGATATTACAAAAGGTGAAAACATTTACTGATGCTCAAGAAGGCAACACAATGCATTAAGAGCCAGAGGGTGTAAACTTTTGAATGGAATGGTGTACATTTTTCTTATTTTTTATAAAGATCAAATTTTTTTCATTTGGTACTGCACTTTAGAAGTTACATAAATACTTAAATGTTTCCCAGAAGACAAAATGAGTACAATTTACGCTGATCATCCAATTCAAAAAGTTTACACCCCCCCCCCCAGCTCTTAATGCATTGTGTTGTCGCCTTGAGCATCAGTAAATGTTTTCACGTTATATAATAGTTATGTATGAGTACCTCAATTGTCATCCATGTGAAAAGATGGATCTTCCAAATCATAGTCACTGTTGGAAAGGGTTCAAATATGCAGAAAATGTTGGCTGGAGGATTTTTCTGAAGAACAGCAGGCAGTTGAACTGCTCAGGACCAATATGAACAAATGCTTCTCGTAATGCACCACCTATGCGTTCCAGATTGGCCACTGCAGGTGTTGTGGGTAAGGTGTCGCATAATAAAGAGCCATGTAACTAATAAATATCTATTTGCACCAAGAGTTTTTGCAAATCGTTAGAGAAAATTCTCACCAAACGTGTACAGACACATGTATATATACAGTTGTGCTCATAAATTTACATGCCCCTTGCAGAATATGCAAAATGTTAATAATTTTAACAAAATTTGCATGTTATTGTTTATTTAATACTGTCCTAAATATGCTATTTCACATAACAGATGTTTGTATATTCTCCAGAAGACAAAAAAAATTCTGAATTTATAAAAATGACCCCATTCAAAAGTTTACATACCCTTGAATCTTAATAATCTGTTGTTTCCTGGAGGATCCATGACTGTTTTTCTGTGTTGTGATAGTTGTTCATGAGTCCCTCGTTGGTCCTGAGCAGTTCAACTGCCTGCTGTTCTTCAGAAAAATCCTCCAGTTCCTGCACATTCTTTGGCTTTCCAGCATCTTCTGCATATTTGAACCATTTCCAGCAGTCACTGTATGATTTTGAGATCCATCTTTTCACACTGAGGGCAACTGAGGGACTTTTGATATTACAAAAGGTGAAAACATTTACTGATGCTCAAGAAGGCAACACAATGCATTAAGAGCCAGAGGGTGTAAACTTTTGAATGGAATGGTGTACATTTTTCTTATTTTTTATAAAGATCAAATTTTTTTCATTTGGTACTGCACTTTAGAAGTTACATAAATACTTAAATGTTTCCCAGAAGACAAAATGAGTACAATTTACGCTGATCATCCAATTCAAAAAGTTTACACCCCCCCCCCAGCTCTTAATGCATTGTGTTGTCGCCTTGAGCATCAGTAAATGTTTTCACGTTATATAATAGTTATGTATGAGTACCTCAATTGTCATCCATGTGAAAAGATGGATCTTCCAAATCATAGTCACTGTTGGAAAGGGTTCAAATATGCAGAAAATGTTGGCTGGAGGATTTTTCTGAAGAACAGCAGGCAGTTGAACTGCTCAGGACCAATGCAGGACTCATGAAAAAGTATCACAAAACCGAAAGACAGTCGTGGATCATCCAGGAAACGACACACAGTATTAAGATTCACGGGTATGTAAACTTTTGAATGGGGTCATTTTTATAAATTGTTATTATTTTGTCTTATGGAGAATACATATACATCTGTTATGTGAAATAACTTATTCAGGACAGTATTAAATAAACAATAGCATGCAATTTTTATGATCCCTCTTATTTTGTTCTGATCAAGGGCCATGTAAATTTATGAGCACACCTATATATATATATATATATATATACACACTGAACAAAATTATAAACGCAACACTTTTGTTTTTGCCCCCATTTTTCATGAGCTGAACTCAAAGATCTAAGACTTTTTCTATGTACACAAAAGGCCTATTTCTCTCAAATAGTGTTCACAAATCTGTCTAAATCTGTTAGTGAGCACTTCTCCTTTGCCGAGATAATCCATCCACCTCACAGGTGTGGCATATCAAGATGCTGATTAGACAGCATGATTATTGCACAGGTCTGCCTTAGGCTGGGGTGTTGCTCACTAACAATAGGGATGTAACGATTAACCGCGAGCCGGTTGAAAATCGATTTAAATATGTGACGATTCAAATCAGTTGAGATGCTAAACAAATCGCGATTCAATTAGGGGCTGGAGTTTATATGAATGCATGTCTGAGGGGAACTTACTGTCTTTAGAAAAGTTTAGATGGTATTTTTTCTTTTCCTTTTGCCTCTGTATAATGCATAGTAAAGTTCATAAGAGGTGTTATGTTTCTGCACTCTTCCATTTTTAGCAAATTAAGAAAACTTTGTCTAAAACAATTTTTGTGATGGTTTGTATTTTTTGTGCTCTGTATGGAACATCAGTGCCTGTTTAAGTGATGAACTCCATTACTTGTGTTTGTTTTCAGACATGATAACAGACGTTTTATACTTGTGCTACAACTTTTTGGCCTGTGTTACAAAACTTTCAACCTCTGTAGCACCAATGCTATGTGAAAAAAAAGTTAGCGTACAGCCCTGATGATAGATATAGATATATATATATATATATATATATATATTTATTTATATATATATTTATTTATATATATTTATATAAAATTTATGTATATACATGATAACTGCGTGATCACTAGACTACAATGTTAAAAATGTAAATATGGCTGCAAAATATTATATTTTATATATTTTCATGGCCAATTATGATTTTCAGAATCAGTTCTTCAACTACATTATACTACATTTACATTGTTAAAAATACAAATATGATTATAAAAAATTATTATAATGATATTTTAATGTATGTGATGTAGTAATAGGATTTACGTGGACAGTAACGATATTAATAATATTTATTATTATTAGTCTTTTGATACCGGTCTATCAGTAGACCCAATGCTCAAAATACCAGCATACCTATAATAACATTCAAAATGGTAAACCAACTTCTTCTGTTTCCCACCCACAACACTGCAAATCATGCAGCAAAAAAACAACAAAAAACTTGACAGGTCAAAGGTCACAGAATTTATATTCTGTAAAAGACAAAATAATCGTTTATGTATGCTTTTGCCGAAGCTCTGTGTTCATGTGCCTTCCTTCAAATGTGTCCTATACAGTAACACTACAGGTACACATTGTCAAGTTTATTGTCCAAGAGTCTTCATTCTCTACTTTAATTAGCTCCCTGCCTAATGAGTTGGTCTTAAATGATCTGATGGCAGTAATCGTTGCTACATTCACATTTCAACACCCGGCCACTCTGTGAGCACGTAACATGGGTTAATTTGAGCTCACCTTCCTCATGCTGTTTGTTTATTTCCTGTCTTTATTGAATTTCAGATGCGGTCTTTCGCCTTTGAGTGTTGCTCCAAACAGCTACCGCCCCCCTCCCACTGCGTCACAAATGGGTTTCATTTTGTGCGCACTCGCAGTTTCTTTGCAGAAATACAGGCCCTGGCAATGTGACAAGTGTGCAGATATTGGGCCTACGTTAAGAGCGTGCATACGTTTGTGTATCTAATTTCCCAGCTGAGGGTTTTGATCGACATCTGTAATCACTGCACACCATGTCCAGTCGGGATGAGCTAGCTAGGTTCTGGAACTCTCAAGCCAAGCTGGGAAGTTCTGGAATGCCGGAAACTCACGAATCCGACTTGAAAGTCGTGGGGGTATATTCTCCCACAGTGCTGTGCAGAAAAATCAATTAGCGGCCTGAATGTAGCCACCTCCCTCACTGGGACGGTGCCTGTAGGCTCTTTTGTCAGTATGTGTGAAACAGCTGCTGGTAGTGAATGCGGCCCCCCTCCTCGCTCAGGCCCGGCTTCAGTGGACACAGCTCAGCCGTCCCCTCCCACACTAGGAGCAATGAAGAGGCTGATATTGTGTAATTAAGGATTCCTTTCAGCTGAGGGGAGAGCTCAAATAGAGTTGTTTGTTCGCAGAGATAGAGGGAGAAAGCCTGGCTGCGTGAGGGAGGACTTGCAGCTTACATGGTTACAGATTGGAAGTCAGCAGTGTTTGTTGAGTTTCCTACGGAACACCGGCGAGGCATTAATCATGAAAGAAATCACTGCCACCTCCACCTTCAGCCCACCACCATTATCAATAAAATCACCCTTTAGAGACAAAGCAAATATGCTTTCCACTCGTCTCCCTCCCTTCCCCCTTTGCCCCCCACTTCTCTCCTTCCTTGTCATCCGTTCTGACTCCTGGAGTCTTCTGCAAAATGAGAGCGTGGCACGAAGTGGCACCCCCCGTATTTACCCCATTCTAATGTGGGTTGCCATGGCGTTTAACAAATTATTGCAATTATGTTCGTCATGTGCTTCGCCCTTGGTA